GGGTTAGGATTGGGGTTTGATTTAGGGTTAGTTGCATGCAATTATTTATTGATTTATTGATCACATATAATTATTTATTAATTTATTGTTATGATTTTAGTACATGTAGTAACAAGGACAGTGTAAAATAAAGTGTTACCAAACATTTTTATCTGGGGAGACAAACAAAGCAGTCTGATATTCAGTCTTTATTGTATTTTATCAGTAATATATACTCTAAGAGGTTCAAAGTCAGATAATGTAATTAATTATATTACTTTTTTGGACTATTGATTCCAAACTACCAAAAAATATTTATTCCAAAACTACCATTTTCTAATTTCTGGCTGTAGTGAATAATTGTAGGCCTATAACACAAATGAAACACACATTTCCTCCAGAAGCCTTGGCCTGTTTAAATATAGAGAATCCCACACATTCTTAACACATCTCATTTGTTTGTATTTCTTAAGCAGCCTTCAAGATTGTGAGTTCCGAAGCAAACTTATTCAAGGCTATGGGAAAGATTTTTCTCACTGAAATCACAAACAGTATAATAGGCCTGGAGAGCAGCATATGATAGCACATGATTATAATTACAGTTCTTCATTGGCCAGTGCTATTTTCTGCAATCACCTTGATATACGTGTGTAAGTGCATGTTTGAAGAACAGTGGGGAGTGAAATGTTACATAAAACACAATATGAACAGTTCATAAAAGGCGAAAGGGAGGAATGGCCACCTCTTTCTTTCTGCATTCACTTCTGATGAGGGGGCTGTCAGAATGATTTCAATTTAGTCGGGTGAAATTAAGGGTTACTCATTGAAGTCTAATTTAGCAATTTGGGTCAGAGGAGGCCTGCTGTCTGCTCTTTGTGTGCCGCTCCTCTCGTACAAGACATCTGATTCGTGCAGCTATGACAGTTGCCACTATTGTCCTCAATTCCCAGTGCAGTTTTCTGCCCCATTTCATTGAAGTTCACTTTAAGAGGGAGGGACAGCAGGGAGCATTAAAATCTCTAAGAGGATTATGGACTGGGAGGAAGGATTTTTTTTTCTGCTTAGTAATATCTGCGAGTGGGCACAAGTGCATCTGCAGTATCACGACTGAGAACAGCTGATGTGGGTGATGGGTTGAATAGGCCCTCCGGTAATTTTGTTTTTGTGTCACGATGTGGGGGTGTGATTTCAGTGTGCTATTATGCTTCAGCATGCGGCCATGGCAGATTTTTTCTATTTCTAATCCTTTATTACTGGCAGCATTAATCCAAGAATTAAAAAGGGGGTAGTGACAAGTGTATTAAATGTGCAATATAGTGACTTTGGCCAAATTGTAGCTTCATCACCAAAATAATACACATGGTAATGCTTCAGTGTTTGAATAGAAAAACGGAAAAGCTCTTGTTGTTTCACAGATATACACACACACACACAAAAGCCATGATCATGGCTTTTATGAATGGTTCTGAATATATATATATATAATAATAATAAATAAAAAAACAGGGTGTTACAGTTTTTTTTGTATGTTTTTTAATAAATAAAAAGAAAGCAAGTATAGAATACAAATAGAGAGTGCTAGTGTTAAACCAGCATCTCTACATGGGAGCCATTCCACTCCAGTGTCTGTTGAATTCCAACACAGGCACACCTCATTCTGCTTAATGAAGTACAGATTAGGTAAATCACCTCAACTAAATCTTATTTAATCTTATTTACTGAGAAAAAGGATGCACACCATCCCTATACTTCTTGTGATAGGACCAGCTGGATGGCAAAACAGTAGTAGTACCTCAAAAGTAATTAGAATTGAATTCATAAGAATGTATGAAATAATAACCATAGACCATGCCAAAAGAGTTGAAAAGAAATGTTTTGAGAGAGGAAAAGAAGGGTTCAATTCTAGTTTTACTGGCAGAGGGATACAGTGAGTGTCAGGTTGCTTCCATTCTTAAAATGAAAAAAAAAATCTTAAAGATTGGACTGTAGACTCTGATGAGTCCAATTTTCAACTTTGCCCAACACCTGGTCATCTAATGGTTAGATGGAGACCTGGAGAGGCCTACAAGCCATAGTGTCTCGCACAAACTAAAATTTGATGGAGGATCAGTGATGATTTGGAGGTGCTTCAGCAAGGGCTGGAATAGGGCACATTTGTCTTTGTGAAGGGTGCAAGAATCAAGCCAAGTACAAGGTTGTCCTTGAATAAAACTTGCTTCCTTCTGCTCTGACAATGTTCCCGAACTCTGAGGACTGTTTTTTTTTTCCCAGCAGGACAATGCTCCATGCCAGACAGCCAACTCAATCAAGGTGTCGATAGAGGACCACCAGATCAAGACCCTGTCATGGCCAGCCCAATCTCCAGACCTGAACCCCATTGAAAATCTCTGGAATGTGATCAAGGGGAAGATGGATGATCACAAGTCATCAAACAAAGCCAAATTGTTTGAATTTTTGTGACAGGAGTAAAGTCACCCAACAATCAGGGTTATTCCACCAAATTTGATTTCTGAAGCCTTCCTAAGTTAAAACATTTGTATTTTGTTGTTTAATTATTAACTAATATGAACTTGTTTTCTTTGCATTATTTGAGGTCTGGAAATGCTACATCACATTTGCTATTTTGACCAGTTGTCATTTTCTGCAAATAAATGCTCTAAATGACAATATGTTTATTTGGAATTTTGGATAAATGTAGTCAGTAGTTAATAGAATAAAAGAAAAAAATGTTAATTTTACACATACTGATAAATAGTAAAACCAGAGAAAGTGAGCTCCCCCCCCCCATAGATAAAACAGAAATAGAATAGAGAGTGATTACTATTTGCATGACTGTCCTGAACTGTGTATAATAATAAAACTAATCATACTAATCATAATCAATTCTACACATTTACTGTAAACCACAAAACATTCTCTTCCTTCTATGTATGTATGTATATATATATATATATATATATATATATATATATATATATATATATATATATATATATATATAT